CTTTCCCTAGTTCCATATTGCAGAACTACTGATGCCCAGCTCAGAAATTAGTTATAAGAAAAATGCTGTTGTCTTGAAACACCATTTTAATCCTGTTTCTTATTAAATAAAATGGAACTCTAACATTTTCACTCTCCATTTCAATGCAAATACATGCCTGTTTAATATGGAACCAATTAACTTAATTTGCCAGGTAGAGTGACCCCAAGTTTAGAACATGTTGGCTGGTCTACAAAGCCAGAAAGACAGAGGGCTGAAAGAATTAGTTTCCACATTGCTCCTTTCCAGGCTTCCCGTTTATACACATAAATAGTAAGAAGGACAGATACATCCTGAGGCCTCAGGGCAGGTTACAATAAATGCTAAAACAAAATCGCTAAGTCTCATTTACTCTGTTGGCTCTCTTCAGACATCTCTCACCAAAGTGTCTCATCAACCCATCTCCACTCCCCAGTATCCATTTTCTCCTCGCCCCTCTTGTTTCCCACAGCCCGGAGGACCCTTTCCACGCCTAGTGGCCGGTGGGTGGTGGGAAGCGCTATCAAGTCGCACCCGATCTATGGTGAGCCTGCAGGGATTTCAAGGCAAGAGACATTCAGGCACGGTTTGTCTGCCTGCCTGCCTGCCTTTGTGGAGAGTGACCCTGAACTCCCACCCCTGGCTGACCCTGCTTAGCTCCCAAGGTCGGGCTAGCCTAGGCCGCCAAGGCCATTGGCCATGCTCTTTACAAAGGTCAAAAACAGAAACGGTGAGCCTGAACTTCCACCCAAAGACTAGCCAGGGCTGAGCCTGCCCAGGCCTCTGAGACCTGATGAGAGACTGGCCCAGCCTGGCTAGCAATGCCTGTCCCAGGGACACGCAGCCCCCTCCAGCATCTGCCCTTCCTTCCGGGGATTGTTCCAGGTGGTGCCACAGGAATTCAGCTGGTGCCATTATTATAGCGGCTGATCATCTGTTAAAGTTGGCTCCATCTAGGTCCATAATTATGAAGCACAGTCAGGACAAGACCATACGGAAGAAATCTGAAACATCTAAGTGTAAACTCTCTCTCCTTATTACTGTATTTATTCAGGTATGCCATCAAAAAAAAAGTAGAGGTGCTCTTATATTTGCACAGAAAGTTGCAGTTATGTTCAATATAAATCTGTTGAGTATAACTTGGGGGAGGGGGGCGTCTTGCATCTAGGGTGACCTTTGAGTAAGGTATCTGAAAACTGTTCTTCTTTTCCTTCTACATTGAGCGGGGGCTAATTTTACCAGAACTTTACTAAAACTTGGTAGCACTACTAAGAAATCATTAAGGGTCCAGTCTGCTAGCTGGCCATCACCTTGGACCTTGGGATTTCAGTCTATACTCAAAACTGAAACTGGAAACAACTGAATCACTGCCATAGTCTACCTAAACTGATATGGGGGGGGGGAGTGTGCACAGGCATATTTTTGGAAACAGCACTTAAAAATTACCCTGTTGCATTTCTAGCAAGTGACACTTTTACACATTTATGTATTTTGAAGCGTCTACTTTGGCAATATTTACATCATTTAGAAGGCTGCTAAACACACCAACTTACCACATATACTTTTCAGATTCACAAACTATGCTGTATGATCTTCCCTCCACTGAAATCCTAGATATGTTTCTTTATGCAACTGCAATTACCAGATGTCTTTTTCAATTTATGGGAAGTAACTATTTTGTACAACCCATAAAGCTGACTCCGAAACAAACTGTACAAAACACTATTCCTTAATTCCTACTTTCCATGTGCATAAGCTAAAAAGTGCAAAAGAATTGCCTTTTTCTTTGCTTTTGTTAAGACAATTGTGGAGAAACAAGAATATCTCCTCTTGTAAGTCATCATTCTTTAAAAGTTACCTCTTTATTCAGACTCTGGATCTTTCCCAGAGTTCCACGGCATCTATTAACTGAATATATTTACATGACCAAACGCGCACGGGACTTCATTCATTCAGCACTCTCTACTGCATCCATCTGAAGATTGTCTTTATTCAGACTGTGGGTCTTTAAAAACTTGCGTTTGCCTTTCATCCAACATGTAGGAGAGATCATTTTACACTGCTACTGCCTCTATAAAATAGCTGCTACGGTCTGAGTGCTGCTGTCGAGGCTGCCATTGTTTCCACAGCGAGACTGGGACGCCTTTCCCCCTTCTACTGAGCCTCATGTTTGTGGTTGCTGACGCAGCTCAGGTCAAATGTATGGCTGTAAAGAAGCTGTGATCCAACTCTGTTATGGGTATTCCTGCCATTCACATATCTAATTCAGAACTGCTAACATCAGTGTTTACTGGAAAGCAGATAGGACTCTATATTACTTGCACCAATCCTCAAAATGCGCAGAGAAAGGAAAAGTCAAACTGCACACTAATTTTGCTGTTTCCAGGGCTTTATCAGACAAACAAGAAGTGTTTATTAGAAATGTTCCTAATTCTAACACAGTACAGACTGAGAAAGGGTTGCTCCAGGACTGTCCAAAGGAAAGGACAGCCACAGTTTGTAGAACTTTTCTTCTTCATTCCTTTGTTAAGTCACAAAAGGCCCAGCTTTTCATTCCCTTTGTTATTGCTTTCCCCCAGCCTCTCCTCTTGGGTAATGCAACCTGCTCAGGGGAATCTGATCATGTGTTGGAGGGCCCTCCCCCCAACTAAAATATGTGTTAGCTGTTGAGAACTGTCATTTGTCTGTCACTAGAGAAAAGTTAATGGATTTGTTTGTTTAGTTGGGGCTATTGGGAATACACAGAGCTGGGCTGAGAGAGATTACAGAAGGGGAGAGGCTCTCCTGATCCACGGAGGAATGCAATTGTTTTCCTTTTATCCTGGACTGAAATTGGGAGGGCAACTGTGCATTTTCACACCTAAGAAACAACAGCAGCAGAAGAAAAACCCCAGAGCACACCTGCGCGGAAGGAAAGAAGTAGTACCACAAGTACCTCAACGGCAAGGAACAAGCAAGAGGTTTATGCCACAAGGAGCATTACTGGAATGTAGAAAGGGAGGGACATGCGTGGAAAGCCTGTGTTCGACTGGAATTAAAAATACGGAATGCAAACAATCTCCAGGCAGCCTGAAGTTCATTCTACTTACCTCTGGCTGAGTCCACAAACAGGAAAATCCCCGCAAAGAGCAAGGTGAACTGGACTTCCATGTTGAAAGCCGGGCTCTGCTGGTCTTTCCACACTGGGGGGGGGCGGGGGGGGGGGGGGGGGGGGGGGGGGAGATAAAGAAGACCACGTCAAGGAACCATCACGGCAAAGCTCCAGACTCGAAAGCACACGGAAAGCAAACAGGACCGAGACCATCGGGAAGGCCCATTCAACCAGCCGGCCAGGAGTTGAGAAGCCCTCCCATGACCGGGGGGTGGGACCGGAGGAGCCCAGGAGAGCCTCGCTTCCCCACAACCCACCCCCCGGCCTTCTCGGGGAGAGGGCGGGAAGGGGCTCCTGCCTGCCTGCCTGCCTTCCTTCCTTCCCCACCTGCCGCGGGGCAGAGCGCCCTTCTCGCCCCGCGCCCAGCCGGGCCCGCCAAGCGACGGGACCCGGCCGAAAGGAGCTCCCCGCCGCCGCCTCCGAGGGGCCCCCGCG